GCTAATTAATAAATCAAAATTCTAAGTATTGTCTAAATTAACCTATTAAAAAGAACTAAGCCTAAAATGACTATTTTTATATTGAAATTATTAATTAATAATAAAATTTAAAATTTGAGCAATCAATTCGAGTAATCGGACATCTTATGCGAAAACTCGACTCAAATTGCTCCCTAATTAATAACTAATGTGTCGTCCTAATTTCTAAGCTTGATTCGAATGTTAATCTAATTTAAAACTAAATCTAAGAATTTAAACTATGAAATATTGAAGCATTTAATAAATCTAATAAAAAAATAAAGTAACAAATAAAAAAGTAAAAAAAACAACATAAAATAAATTAAATAAACATAAATATGAGGACCTAATTGCATGAATATCTAATTACAAGCTCAAAAAACAAATAAATGAAATATGTGATAAGGACTAAATTAAAACAAATTAAAATTTGAAGTCTAATTCGAAACAAAATAAAACTAATCAGAATAGGGATTGAAATAAAAAAAACATGTGAAAATTAAAGGGCCTTAATGGAAATTTTCCAATTTATTTAAGCCTAAAATAACTTGTTTAAATAAAAAGGAAAAATTACAAAATCAGTCCACATGTATTAAAAAAACTAAAAGGTCACTACACATTACTAAAGTGTAAAAACACGCTAAAAGTAGGGTCTAAAAAGAAATTATACCAAAAATTACAAAGCACAAACGGAAATGGGAAAATATTAAAAATGGTCTCTGCCAGTGACCTTTTTGTAAAAACACACGTATGTTAGGGGGTCAAAGCGCAATTTCTCCTAACTTCCTTTATATATACAACATTTTTCTTTTTTATTTTTTATTTTAAAAAAAAAACAAATAAAAAGGGGGAGAAGCTGTCACACGGTGGTTGAAAATCCCAAAACACCCCAAATCACTCCAAAAAAAAACTCTCCAAGCCCATATCTACTAATCTAAGCCCTTACTTAAGGACTAAAAACACCGAAAATCACCCCTAAACCTGAAGAAAAAGCTCAATTTTTCGACCCCCTCCAGACTCCGACGACGCATACGACTCAAGTAAGTTTAGATATATTATTTTCTTATTTTTTTATTATTTTACTTAAAAAATAGTCAGTTATTGCATGATTAAAAAAAAGCCTCAATTTTTTTGTTATTATTCGGAAAAAATGCTATTTTTGTTTGTTATTTAAAACTAAAAAAAAATGCTCTCGTTTTTTTAAATCAAATCTTGTTAAGAACCATAAAAAACGAAGAAAAGATAACAATAAAGCCACTCGAAGAACCAAAAAACGAAAAGGAAATAACCTTGAAGGCTTTGATATTATTTCTTCAAAAAAGGTGACTGTTTTTTTTTCAGAACCGAGAGATTTTATAGAGATAATGCATGGGGTTTATATCACCTTTACACTGGAACAATAATGATTCATTTTGTCATCTTCTTTGCTTTCTTAGGTGGTGTAGTGCACAAGTGACCTCGACTGTGACTGGGGCAGAGGGATGGTGACCATTGATAGGGGATTAGGGGTGACTATGATTGATTGGGGTTTGGGTGGCTTGATTTGGGCCCGGGTCGGGTCCTGGCTTGGGGCCTCGAGTCTGGACCGGGATGTTGGGCTTCGAGTTGGGTATGGTTATTATTGGGGTTTGGTTTATATTTTGGGGTTTGAGCTTGAGGCCTAATTTTTATTTTGGGGTAGAAAATGGTGATTACACATTTAATAGAGTAATCATTAGTAGTGAATTGAATTACTATTTATTGCTATCAAAATATTATCATTTCTCGAACAATTAATCTCTTAGATGAAAATTCTTTAATTTAAAATTTATTTAATAGACAAAGTATTTACATTTGACCTATGAAAGATAATTGAATAATGAATGATATAATTTACCCATGAAAATGCAGTGTCTATAAGTTTTTAACGACGGATACTAAAATAGAAAAAAAGGTTAAATGTTAGGTATAATTTTGAAATAAACAAAAGTTTAGGTATTAAAATAAAATAAAATTGATAGTTTAGATATTGAACGAGTAATTTATCCCTTAAAAATAATTGAACCCCAATAGGATTAAGAGGAGCAAGATTTAATTTTAAAAGTATGAAAGAGTTAAAAACAATTTGATCTAAAAGATTTGGGAGCACAGCTCCTCCCATCTCTTGGGGGGTATGTAAAATGAATTGCGTTAGGTCTTGTAATTGGAATGAGAGTGGGAATTGATTTGGGCTTCTACCAATTTAAAAGATAAATTCTTTACCGTTATTTGTTCATCTATTTCATTCCGGATGAGAAGAAAAAAAAATTAAGGGGTAATCAATAAATCAGAAATTTTTTGAGCGCCATTAAATAACTTGTTACTCTTCAGCTAACGGTTAGGTTTATAGATGGATTTAATATTTTTAGTTTACACTGTATAATTTTAGTAGGAGATAAATGGAAGATTATATAATTGATGGAGTTAATTTATAAAATTTTAAGGGTAAAAGTAAATTATTAATAGAAAATATAATATATATTAAAATTATATGAGAATTTAAGGGTTTGTTTAGTTTTAGAAAATATTTTTATTTTTATTTTCAGAAAACAGTTTTTATTTTTACTTTTTTGAAAATTGAGAAACATGTTTGGTTAATATAATGAAAACTTGAATATAGAAATAAAACTAGTAAAATATAGTATTTAGTATCTAATTTTTTAAAAAAGAAATGAACAAATAATTATTAAATACCTAAATTAAACAATAATTATTAAAAAATATTACAATGTGAGCTATGTAAATAAAAAAATAAAGTTGTTAAGAATTTTCATAATACAAAAAATATTTTAGTTTATAATAAGATTATAACGTCAATGCATATTGAACATCAATTAAATTTTAAAAAAATATTGTTGTCAGCAAGAGCACATAAAAGTGATATTAAAAATAAAATATATGTTTAGTGCTAATTGACACCCTAAAACTTTTGAAAATAATTAGTGTAACCCCTAAATACATTTTTACACTCAATGTGATTTTTAAATTGAGGAAAAATTAATCTAATTATTTGACCAACAGAATCGAACATTGACTACCACGACGCTTACATGACAATCTACAGTATTGATATAAGAGTTCATAATATTGTTGTGACATTGCACGATGGACGTTGATATAATAGATTTGCTTAATTGATACATTATCTAAGTTTGAGACATAATTGATTTTTTTAGAAAGTGTGATGACTTATTTAATTTTTTAGAAAAATTAAGAGAATATTTAAATTTAAAATATAAATAATTATTAAAATATTTAATATATTAAATATAAAAAATAATATGAAGTCAAATTATTAAAAAGATTCAATTTGAGGATCACATCGATTGTAAAAAGAGTTCAATGATATTGATTTTTTTGTAAAAGTTTGAAGATTCTCATTCACAATTAAATTTAAAAAAATTATTGTTAGAAGAATTTGAGCTTATGTAAGTTAAGATTAAAATTTTAGATCTTATTTTATTATTAATGTGTAACAGTTTTTTTTTTTTTACTTTTTATGAGTATTACTACATACAAATTATTTAATAAAATAAATTATAAGATTATCGCTTTAAACATTGATTAAAATATATTTAATAGGGAATAAGGAAAAACTACACCACCCACTTTTACTTCATATTAATACAAATTTTCAAGTACGAAGGTTCGGTTAAATGCATCGTTAACAAAAAGTTTTAATTGAATTTTTTTAAAAATAAATATAAAGATTTGTCCTATCATTAACCAATTATCTTAAAAGTGAATCAATTCATCGATGTGGTGATAAATGATTCACGTTATTTAGCCTTTTACTGTTGCATGTTGATGTAAGAGTACAAAAATGAAAGAAAATAACACAAGTGATTCATGAACCTGATGATTTGCAGGTGTTGAAAATCTAACCTCGCATGTATCGCTTCGGACATAAGTAAACACCTGTCTTCTCTAAAAGACCAAGTGCTTCTTCTCTTCCATATCTTGAGGCGTAAAGCTTCAGGTATTCAAACTCCTATATCCGCAGAATAAATCTATAAACATAATTTGGTTCTAAATGGTAGATTTACTATTACATTTCGTTCGATTTTATTTTAATAAGCCGAGAAATGTGAGGAACACGGGGTGACACGGAATTTGCCTTACCTGCAAGCCACTGAGAATGCGCTCCAGTCTAAGGGAAGCAACAGGTTGACTTGAAGATGAGGACACCTCACCTGGGTAGTATAAAACGCCATCACCTGGGGGGCAGCCTCGACTGAATCTTATCTGCACAAAGACATATTTTGCATTTTCAGGAAAGAGTTTGGGAATGTCATCGTGGACTTGAGATGCTCAGTGAAAACCTCTGCACTGGGAACTGTTGCCTTCTCGTAGCAATTGGCACCCCAGTACAGAAAACCGGTTCCACCTTCCTTCCATACGCGCCAAATAACAGCACGATGCTGTGTTCCTCGCATTCCCAGATGTCAGTTTGGATGTGGGTCGGATGGACCCATGAAAACGTATCTCCACCATTCCTAACATAAAAGCTCACTCCCATCAATATCTCATTTCATACTGCTCATAACTTTGATGCTTTCGCCCTAGTTATATTTTTCTACAAAATACAAAATATGAAATCTACAACTTCAGAGTATACTGTCAGACACTTGCAGGACAGAGACACAACTCGACCAGTGGTAAGTACACTAAACATTTCAAGAAGCCAGTAGGAACCCCGTTCACTTTGCTAGGACATAATAACATTTTAATCCTAAAATCTTGGTCTGAGGAAATATTCCCACCAAGAATTATAAGAAAAAAGATTGATTTCAAGTCATAACAAAAATAATTGTCGACCCTTGTTTAGGTTCTAACCTTGGGTTGTGGGATCGAGTCTCATGGAGGACATTTCATAATTCAGAGGTCTTCTACGGAAGCTGCTCTCAACCTGATGTTGGGGACAGCCTACTATCTTACCTCTCCTTACCCCCATTACATATGGGAAGCATTACCTCTCCATTTTCTAGCTGCAATTCAGAAATAAAATCCTTAACAAGATCCTCCCGATTACCAAATACCCATTCACTGCACACGAAAACAAAAAAAGTTTTACTTATTCTTCAGAACAAGGAAGAACTCTTTGAGCCATAATAAGCAAGAGATACCCTGTACAATAGATTTGAGTGTGAGGGCGTAGGAACTTTGGCACTTTTAGAAAGGCCTCAAAAGGAGTTGGTGCAAGAGGAGCATCACTTGGTCCTGCATGAAAGAAACAAACCAGGTGGACCATCGCAATAGCTAAGAAAAGGATGCCTTGCTAATTCTATAAGGTCAAAATAGCAACATTACTCATGAAATACATAATTTCAATAATATAGTACGCCAACTAGAACAAAAAATCAATAAGCCTTTAGAAGTCAGACTATGACCATGGCACCTCTTTACCATATGCAGAAGTGACCAAGTACCCTGAGAAAGTGAGAAATTTTATACCATCATATTGGGTGGTTGCAACTATCTGATTCCACATACAAGCAGTTAATAAACAATTACTCAAGGGCAGATTAAAATTTATGAAGAGGTAACTGGAAATAGAAAACTTCAAAAAAAAGTGGAGCGTGAAATCTTACCACAATAGTAAGTGGTTAAAACACGAGGCATCAGGAGCATAAACATGAATCCCACTCGCAATGTTCTTTTCTTGCCTTTAAAAATATTAATAATAACCCGCCAAAAGGAAGACAGAGAACAATCAGAAACAAAGAATTTTATGCTATACTGAGAAATTGTTGTCTGAAAACAAGAAAAATACTTATTTGCTCCTTCGCTGTTCTTCTTTCAGGTAAGAAGGGAATCTCCCCATCGCCAAACCCTTCACTCTCCTTTTCTTTTTCGTTCTTTTACTCTCAATTTCTTCGAAACTAGGACATTTCTTTTCTGATTCCTCCAGTTCAAAATCCCTAATTCCTTTCTCTTGACTCTAACCTTCAACATTTTCGTCAATTCCATCGGTCATTGAATCAAAATTCAAAGCCCGTTTAGATACTGAATCCGACCCGTTTCCCTCGACTCCCAACTCATCAGAGCCAGAACTCAATTCAGTTTCCTCGTCAAAAGAAGCCTCGGACCCAGAGCCCGATTCGGGCCCCTCAACAACTTGGCCATCTGGCGTATCGAAATCTAGGTCTTCAGATAGTAATGGATTCTCCGAAATCGATTTCAGCTTCTTCAATCGTTTAAACTTTCTTTCTTGAATAGGAGATGTCTCGCCGGAAGAAAAAAAAAGCTCTAGATCCTCGTCGGTGTCCATGCCGGCGGTCCTTAATTTTCTGGAAAGGTGGCAGAAAAGAGAACGTAATTGATTTTGCTTTTGATTATATAAAAATGCTTTGTTAGAGATTTATAGATATATTGTCAGGAAATTTGGGAAAATGGAGGTAAAATTAAGATGGCAAATGGGTATAGTTTCGTGGATTTCGCACCGCATCCGTTTTAATTGGGGTGAGGATGGGTATAATTTTAGCAGGTAGTGGGCGGGTGTGGATTTAGAAAGTGGTACTCGTCGCGGGTGGTGGGCGGATAATGGGTTTGAGACATTACCCGCCCCGCATCCGCCCGCCCTGCAATTCTAATTTATTTATTAAATTTATAAATTTTGAACCATTATGAATTTAAGTGTAATTTTAGAGACTAATTTATAAATTCTAATATTGTATAAGATATAACATGTAATTTATTCAATTCTCCAACAAATAGCAAAGGATATTTTGGGCATTCATGTCTCCACTGTCCCATCAAAATCTGCATTCGGTATAGGTGGAAGAGTAATTGGTCCTTATCGTAGTCGACTACTTCCGGAGACGATTGAAGCATTAATGTATGCTCAAAATTGATTTTGGCCCGATATTAAAGGTAATATTATTATTTAGTTTATATTAGCTGTCAAATTATGCTTAATTATTTTATTAAAGTTTAGTTACTAACTTATATTAGTTTTACTTTCTATTATATATGTAGGTAGTAGTGAATTTAAATTGGAGCGCTCTCAGTTGGAGGAAATAGAGAATGATGATTGTAATACTGGAGTATTATATGTCACAAATATTGTCTGAAATTTTAGAATGTTGTGCCAAAGAACAAAAACATTATGTGTTTGTCATTTATGTTTTTAGACCTTAATTATGTCATTTATTATGGTGTTTTATGTATTTTAAGATCTATATTAACACTTAACTTAGATAATCCTTGGATTATTTTATTATGTTTCTTAATGGACATGTTTTTTTTATGTTTGTTGCTTATGTATAATTTAAGTTTGCTGTCAGGCGGGTCTAGACGGGTACGTCGCTAGTGGTAGTGGATGTGGGGATGGATTTGAGAATGTACCCGCGTGGGCGGGTGTGGATTTGAAAATTTGTACCCATTATGAGTGGTGGGCGGGTGGTGAATTGAAAAATATTAGGTAAGTATAGGAATGAGGGAGGGGGTATCCGCACCAGACCCGCCCGTTTGTCCGGTAAAATGCATCAAGGCGCCAAGTATTTATATTTTCTTTTGGTTTGAACTTTGAACCGCTTAATCGGGCAGTTTGACGCGAGCCGATTTCACTTTTTTTAATGGTAAACTACTTTAGTGATCACTAAACTTTTAAAGCGTCTCATTTTAATCAATGAATTGTAAAGGTATTTGTTTTAGTCACTAAAGTCTTCCAACTTTGTTTCAATGGCTTAGAAAAAAAATAACACCACCTTATAATCACCCAGACTATTTAAAAAATATTTATATTTCAATTAAATAAAAATATTATCAAACATGTATTAAATATCAACCACAATAATGGGAAACTCGTTATCGACTGTCATCACATTGAACTATAAGTATTCGAAAGTCTATTATTCACCAGCAAATAATGAGATGCAAAATGGCTTTTATTTGGTCGTTTAATGGCTTATTCTGACCCAAGTTCCCATAACATCAATTGAATTTGATTGTTGAGCATTGCACTGATGTCCAGGTGTACGTCTGAAGCATAAGTTATTAGCCCCTTTATGCTCCGCCATGGCTTGCTGTTCTGGCAATTAGAGTAAGTTACTTTTCTAGTTCGGGGGTTAGGGTTCAGGTGTGGTTTTCTGTTTTCAGGTCACATATACAATTCATAGGCTTGACGTCTTCCCACAAAAGCCAGTTATAATATAACTTCCTTTCTGTTACGGATTATACAAAACATGAACGGTCTCTTGAAACTTCTAGACAAAAATGTAACGTTCTTCAAGGTTACCCTTTTGCTACCAAGGAGAAAGGGGAGGTTATCAGTAAAAAGAAATAGAGTTCAGATGGAACCAAAGATTAATCCCAAATACCGTTAATACATATAGCCCTTTTTCGTTGTGATCAAAGTTGCTTCTTATAAATTTTCTACCGATTGAATCTCGCCCATCATAATCCGGTTGCTGACCACGTTGAATCCTAAAACAGCCGGACTCACTTTCTTTCCTTTCTTCCCTTTCTTCTTCCCTCCCGCCTTCAAAGGCCCATCAGGGTCGACTCCATCTTGGTTGGATTCGACAACGTTTGTATTGCTGGAATTTACATTTCTGGTTCCCAACTCTGTTAACGTTCCGTCCTGACGCCTTTGAAAAGCAATCTCCAGCACATCAGCTGCTAGCAATTCCTTATAGTTGAGGAATTTTTCAATGAACTCGTGATTCGGATCAAATGATCCAAGGTTCTCTACAAGAAATATCTCAGCCTCGGATCTAGACTGCTTCAAACAAAATTCCAAGAAACTTGTATCTAGCAAAAGAATAAAGAAAAGGAACAAGATTAATATGCCAAAAATCAATGAGCACCAACCAGCATCATATCTAAGCAAAACTACAATTATAGCTTCAGAGAGTTGGGACAAACAAAGATTAAAACAAGGGCATCATCTAAGGATTGAAAAGAGAAGCTCAAATCAAAATATATGTTATTGGTGCTTTCCAATAGAAACAGGATATACATTCTCTTCTACCTAGCAAAGGCATAAACCCGCCTAGTATAGGCATAGTCTTAGAACCATGTGGCGAAATAGCATACCTTTTGTCCCAATAAGCCTAACACACTCACTCTCGCACCAAGCTCTGAAATCCAAGGCCTCTGCATGATAGTTAATTGCATCGTCATGTCTGACATTTATGAGGTAGCCCAAAAAACCATATGAAGACCATTATTCATCTTATTAGAATGACATACCAGAATGCTTAGTCAACATATCTCTTTTCCCTTTAAGGGAGTACTGAGCAGAGGCAGGAGAGGGGTGACAGAGTGCGCTCAATAGGCCTAGCACCTACCGACTTTTGCCGACTTAATGAACCACTTGCATTTCCTTTACTGGCAGTGCTTTTGCCTCCCCAGCTGCCCACATTTGCTAAAAGTGGGAAATCACCTCTGTTAAACCACAAAAAAATTACATCCATTTAGTGATCACCAATTGATCTTGTTAAATATTAAGTCGGCAAAGATAAAACTTTTTGCTTCTTTCTATTGGCATGGAGGTATGATTTAATACTGTCTGGTTTTTGAAGTATCAAAAATGGAAAAAATAATTCCCATACTAAGAAAGTACAAATCAAAATCTCATTAATCCTTTTGCCAGGAAAAAAATAACCCTCCAGCAGCAGTACTTGACTGGAAAACAGGGTGTTCTAGAGCTGGCTAGAACAATTGAAATAACGAGAACCCAACTTTCCCAACTCCCTCAGTCTATCAAGGCAGGGAAATACTTCACAAGAGAAAAAACAATTAGTGCACGAGGGTGTGCATGTGTATTCTTTCTTTTCTAAAAGGGGGAGTTATGGGCAGGGGAAGAGAACATACTGTTTTGTTTCTTGCTTTGTCCGATCATTTGGACCCCAGAATAGGTCATCATCTACTTTATGTTTTGATTGAGATGCATGAGAATTAATATGGATCGGAGAGGCAGTCTTTGATGGAGATGCAATGGACGCTGACTGATTTGGTTGGGATTTATGAATTGTTATTGGACTAGTGGGATGGGAAGAGGAATTCCTCTTCTGCTCCTTTTGTATGTCCCTTAATGATGTGGGTTTAGTTAGTTTCTTAGAATCAGCAGACCATGCTGGAGTGAGGGAAGGGTTAATCTGCTCCTCTTTCCAAGGAACAAAATCTCCCAATGAAGGACCCGAGGCAACTGAAGGCAATACCTCCTTCTCCGGCTGTGCTGGACGAGAACCTTTGCCTTTCTGAACAGTACTAGCACTAACAGGATGCACATCAGCAGTACTAAGAGGAACTAAAACTTTTGCTCCAGTGCCCTTTCCTTTGGACTTTTTTCGGCTCTTTTTAGTTTCTTTAGCCTCGATAAAATCGTCATCATCAATAGGCTCCACATTTGCAGTGGCAACACTGGCAGAAGATGTACAAATAGTTTCAGGAACATCAACAGCTTTTTCCCGGGATTTTGCCAAAACTTCTGCTGCCAGCAGGTCATGTAATGGGCTCTTCGGGCTCTTTTTAGTCATCAGATTTAAAGAACTTTCAGATTTCACAATAGCTACCTCGGCTAAACCTGCATCTCTTTGACTTTCTCTAGACACTTTGGGTTCTGAACTAGACAGAACCCCAACCCACGGAGTTGACAAATTCAAAGAATTCACAGAAGTAACCTCTGATACAGCCACCTCCATTTGAACCTTCCTCTGTTCTTCCTGTTGGATTTCCAATAGTGACATTGGCTTGAAACCAGGAGCAGGTTTCCAAGCACGTACCGCAGGCTGTGCACCTGGGTTATGTACTGGGAAAGAGCCAGAAAGACAGGACTCATCCTTGAGTTCTTTGGTTACATCATCAGCCATGACAATGTTAGCAGCTGAAGTGCTTACAGCATAGTGGGAATCCATGGGGGCGATACTAGATTTGTTCTGTTCTTTCTTCCCAGGAGACAAAACATCAATGTCACGTCCAGCAGTGTTAGTATCAACAACTGGCACTTCAGTTTCGGATGTTTTCAATTGCACCGAAGAGGAAGCCTTTGAATGTCCCTTTGCAAGGTCATAAGTTTGTGATTTGTTAGATTTTTGCTTTCTAGACTTCTTTTCAGAAGTCTTTCTTACCTCATGAACTTCAACATTCTTAACTTCTCTCACCACTGAAGGCTGATCATTGCTTTTCTCTCTTTGAACTTGCAGTTCATCGATAGCAGCAGTAGGTTGGACATCCTCATTAGGTGTATTAGTTTTACAGGTTCTAGCAACAGCAGTTTCATGGTGTTCCAAGGTTCCACAAATTGCATCATTCACAAGAGGTAGAGCTGGTGCAATTTCATCAATATTCCGAGCAGAGTCCCATGGCTGCTCCAAAGTAACAGCATGGCAGTCAGAAGCCATCTGGGTGGATAGGTTTACTTCCAATGAGGGTGAGTTTTCAATGATTGCTGTCACTGGTAAAGACTGTTGGATACCATTAACCAGTTCTGGTGCATTAGTCCCCAAGCTCTTCTCAAAATTTATACTACTGTGCATCTCATGTGGTAGAAGCACGGGCTGAGATCCAGAACTGACAGCATAACTCGTATCCCTGGAGACTTGTGGTGACAGATTCACTAAGTTAAATGCATGTTCATCTTGGGTGCCAGAGATCTGTGAACCACTCTGAAGAATATCCTGTGACGACAGTTTAAGTAGACTGGGATCCATGGATGAATTCCCTGTTGGTATTGAAGCCTGTAAGTAAGAGGGTTCACCAAAATGCTGCTGGGATTGATGTTCTTGCAAAACCTGTGAGAGCAATTGTTGTTGCCGTAGAAACTTTTGCTGTTCCTCCAGTCTCTGTTGCTGCTTAAGAAACATGATCTTTTCAAGCAGCAGCATATGCTGTGCTTGTTGTACTGGTGTCTGGGGTTGTAGCTGCAGCATTAAATACTGCTGCTGCAACATATTTAGCAGTTGGGAATCTTGAGATAAAGTTGACGAGATTACACTTTCAGGTTTTAAAATGCCAGATGGATTATCCATAGTTTGACCAAGCAAACTAGTCAAGGAAGATGGGGTAGGAGTTTGTTGGATCCCGAAGGGCACTTGGGTAGGAAAATTTTGAGTATGATGTAACTCAATCTTATCTTGAAGAGGATCCGATACACCTTGTGCAGGAAAATTTGACCAACCCCCAACACTATAATTTACTGCAGGAGCAGACCGGTCAGGTGATCCTTGTAGGATGGACATCAAATCAACAGTTTGTGGATGAGGTGGCTGAAGGGTGTTGTCAGTCAATGACTTGAGGAGTTTTGCTTGAGCTGCAGGAGACTCAGAGATGATATCTGGCTTTGAAACCAAAGATGCAGCATCTCTCCCTGGCCAATAAGGGTAGGGTTTGGGTAATGACCTCTGCCGTTCCAGAGCCATTCTCTTACCCAAGAGATAGAGATCACTCTCATTTTCTATTCCAGATGCCGGAATGCTACCAGGATTATTTGGAAGATATCCTTGTAGACCTAAAGCAAAAACCATACTAGACATTAGGTATACAGTTTGAAAACACCATAAGAAAATTTCATTAAACTGTAGAGAGCTTTATGGATTAGAACTCTAGAATACTCTACCTTCAGAGTTCAACAAACAAAAATTATATACTATAAATAAATAAAAGAACGTATTTGTATGTAAAAGCCCAACCTTGGGGTGGATTACTCATGCCACCAGCCATGAGCGACTCCAAAAACCTATTTTCAGCTTCTGTTGCAGGCCTTGGCTCATTTCCGATTATATCAGTATCACTTGCACCAGTATGAACTTTCCCAAGGCTACTAAAATTTGGTTTTCTTGAAAAATCTGATAATTCACCTGGTTTTGATACACTAAATCCAGGTGGTGGCCGTACTTTAGCTCTTAAGTGGGGCATTACATCACCAAGTGATGAAAATGGTGAGTCCTTCGGTGCACTTGCGAGCCGAACTTCCAAATCTATCCCAAAATATCCTGCCTCAAACCAGCCTATGATATCAATTCCAGAAAAAGGGCCTTGAATTTCACCTTGAGGATCTTTGTAGTGAAGGATAAGCTCCTCCGGAGCAGGCAGCTTCCTAGGCTCAGGTTCCCTCTCCAAAACACCGGATGGTTGCCTCTTAAGGATAGGATCCTCACTGGATTGCCAATTTTCTCCATCTCTAGAATAGGATGAATTTGTTACATTACTTTCTCGTTGGTTAACCATATCTTTCTGTGGTTGTGACCAGCTCATGTCGGGGGTTCTTGACCTGACATCATTTGGCTGTTTGACCGCAGGTGATTGTTCTCCAAACGAAGAGGTTCTCCACATGGTGCCGGGATTAACAGAGTTAGTTACTTGTCTACTTGATTCCATATCTATGGGCACCTCATCACCCTTTCTGTAAGGACCCCTATTCTCCACAACTGCAATAAGATAAACGAGTAGAGATCATTTCTCATATTAAAGTAAATGCAATTCAAGAAAGGAGAGTAATGTATCATATCTACATAACGCAGTGCAGTGAGTTGAACTTCAAACTACAGAAAAGCTGGCATTCAACGAGGACAAAATTCTGATTACAAAAACTAGACAACCAATCCATTGGACACGCAAATGCAATCCAAAAAGTGTAATTATCTCAAACCTCATATCGAACAAAACTTAACTAGCCCTCAACCCAAAAACTAACAGATTCAAGTTGGCTACCTGATTCCTCTTTTTTGTTCCAACCCATGAAGTAGTAATTTTTTTAATACAAGTACTCATGCAACAATTTCTCATCTGTTTCAAAGTTTTCAGTTGATAATACCTTACACATCCAATTAAATAACTGCACGATGGTCGCCAGAGGTGATACCAAATAAAAGCTAAACGATTTATGTAATTATACCTTCATATTTGAATTTAGTATCTGGGTGTCCCTTATGCTTTTCATTCTGTGAATAACTGCTGTTTGGAATGTCAGAACTTTCCTCTTTAGAATCATCAATGGCAGTTGGTAAATCTTCTCTACTGCCTGTATATGCATGTTCCAGCAGAAGTTAGACACTGCTTCAAAATATACATAAACTTACAGTAGAATATATCTTTAATATTTTGAATACCAATCTTGTTTCGTCTTGAAGGAGTAAACTCTGTAGAGTTCTGGCAGACAGGTCCATCTTTAGGCATCTGTGGAGCACCACTACTTGTTATGTCCCCTTTGTCAATTCCCTTTAGAACAAGCTATCAAAGAAGCAATAAAATCAACAGTGGACTCTAAACCAAGGTTAAGCATTATATACATAAAAAATGAAAAATAATACCATTTCATCAGGACTAGGAGCACAAAGAGCTAGAGGTTCTAATGGTTCATTCTGAGCAAGAGAAGGCACCGATACAAGCTCTTCAACAAGTTTTTGGTAAACTCTCATGTCAGTCCTCATATATACATCAAGCAATTTTTTCCTACCATATCTTAAAGGGGATGGCTCCCCATGGTCGAAATCGCGCTTGTCAAATATGATTCCTAGAGTTTGATGATGAGAAGTTATACTAGCCCCTGAGTTTCCACCAGAACTTCCCCTTCCATGGCTACCAGAATATGATGAAGGGTGGGAACTTTCTCCACGTCCCCGGCCGTAAGAAAACGTGGGAGCCTGCTTGCTTGGAGTTAGTATTTGGTGATGAGGAGGCTCTCCCCTTCCTCGACTTTGAGAAGAGGTGGATCTCCATGGCCGATGGTGATCACCCTCCCTCACATCCTTTCCCTGACTGGAAAGAGGAGACAACCCTTTTTCAAGAGGCAAATCACCATCTCTTACAGAGTCAGCCCACTTATCTCGCGACCTTTCAATGTTTTTATCATCAGGCCCCCAGCGTGTGTTCCATTTGCTCTCACGCTTTTGATCATAATTTGATTCCTTGTTATCAGTCCACCGCTCAGTGGGTGCACGGCGTGCTTCTCCAAATTGTTTTGATGGCAAGTTATCTACCCATCGATCCATCCTGCGGGTGTCACCAAGCTCTTTATCACCATCCCTCCAATGATCTTTGCGCACAGATGAATGGGTATCTCGTTCTTCATCAAGCCAGCGATCTCGCGACCTGTTTCCATATCAAGCAAGGATGGCCTAAAAACATCCTTCTTTTGGGTATCATGCATCCCCTCGCCATTTCCCAATGGCTTCATGACTTCGGGGCAACCTCTATGAGCTGGATATGGGGCAGGATGACTTTCCTGCATGGATGATTGTAAATTCAGGGGGGAAATGGTCTGAGATGGCAAGAATACAGAAGATTAACTGATTCTTGAGATGAAAACTGTATGATGATAGCATGATGGAGAAATCACTCACACAACACGAAACCCACATATAAATGAAAAAGGACACCACAAGTCAAAAAAACAGAATCATATAGTTAACACAACAACAATAATAACATACCATAGTTCCTATTCCAGGCTTACTCTCCCCTGGCTTTGACAGAAGCCATTGTGGTGAAAGCGGAATAGGATTGTCAGATCCTTGAACATCTACATTAAACAAACAGAAACATCAATTAGAGACGAGCATATATTCAAGCAAGTATTTAAAATCAAAATGCTTAGTCCGATACAATGATGGTGAAAATAGGTACACTAGAACTTTTAACAAACAAAAAAAAGAAAAAGAAAATAGGTACACTAAAAACTATTCAACCTGATTTTGTTGGGAGAAAAGAAAAAAATTTATGAGAAATGACCAAATTTGCCTCTTGAAACTGTCACGTTGATTTATCAATGAATAAAGAAAACCAAACAGTCAAACACAACAGAAAACCACATGCATTAAAACTAGAGAGACGTCGTTCAGGAAGCTTGTTTGACTTTCAAACGAGGCATTTCAAACTAATAATAAAGCAGAAAAAATTATCAGTAAAACCTGTTCGTGAAGCAGCTAAAAATGACAAAATTTACACAATCAATTGTCAATACAAAGAGAAGGTGTCATTTATAAATGGAATAACAACTATGCAAATTTATATATAATTAATCCCATAAATTGATTAAATTCTAGCATTTGAATTGAATGAAATTGAAGAAATATCCGAAATAAAAATTTTGAGTTGAATTTATCAGAAAAAACTGAACAACTTCAGTGCATCCCTATAACATCGTACTTTTCCAATTGAAAAAATATATAATAATAATATATATCAAGTACAGTATGTCGGAAAGCAAAGTGCGCTGAGCTAGAAGCTCATAGAAAAGAAACCGGAAGGGAGGAAAGGTTCCTTTTCTAGATGATAAACCAAAAACCCTAACTTCGAAGCAGACAAAAAAAACAGGAACCTCGTAAAAACACTGAATCCATAATAATGCCATCAGATATCAAAACGAAATGAGAAAAGTTGGAAATGACAAGAGTTAGGGTTTTACAAAAAGACGAATGAAAGAAGCCGTTAATCCTAATGCTAGGAGGAGATACGAGATCAGAGAGGTAAACTACCTTTGGGGATCGGAAGGGGAGGGTTGACGGTGAGGTGGCGGCGGGAATCAGAGGCAGATGAGTGAGCATGGACGATCGGTGAAAGAGGCAGAGAACCAAATGGTGCTGTTTTGTGTCGCTCGTTTTGTTTTCCCTTTGCTTTGCTTTGGTTGCGTTTTGTGAGCGGAAATATAAGTTGGGTGAAAAAAAAAAACAAAATATTAGCAAAAATGGTAAAAAGGTTAAAAATAAATAATTTGTGGAAATATGAAAGATATGCTTCGGCTTACCTACGTTTAGCGAGTAGACAAAGGTAATTTGCTGTCCGACTTTAGTTACTGTCTTAGATTATTACCAATTTGGATACTATTTACGTGCTAAGAAGAATTCGTGAAGTGTAAGGTTTTAGATAAGTCTTGCAGTGATTTGCACGCGCATTATTAAGAGACGAGATATGAATTTTGATATGTGTTTTGATTCGATAGGTACTTAGTACGTCACGATTGATAATATAAAGTAGAAATTTAGGAGGATCAAACAATTGTCGTTTTAAAAGTAGCTCTTATAATTTTTAATATTATGATTATTAATATTTAAAAAATTGGAATAAATTTTAAATTTTTAAACATTAAAAAATATTTAAAATAATGAAAACAATTTTAAAATACCATATAATATATATATATTGTTTTAATATTAGATTCATACTTATTCTTTAAAAATATATATTATACTCGTGAAATTGGTAAAAAATATTTATAATTAAAAATAATTTGTAAAATTGTACTCAGCTAACGATCATAGGTGGAGAGAAAGTTTTTTATGCATTCATATTTGATTATAATATATTCAAATGCTGTGATTCAAAAAATTAAATATGTTGCACGAATCAATTTATCTCAGTGGTTAAAGGAATCGTTATTGTTTTTAGAGATCACGGGTTCAAGTATTAATTGTTACACAAGGTAACTGAGTGTTTATTCTCAAATTATTGAAAGTATTTAGAAAAATACTATTTATAATCACTTTTGTTTAATAAAAAATTAAATGTGTTTAGATAAATAACTTTTGAAAGGAATTTTGTTTTTTATTAATTTTAAAATAAATATATTTATTTAGGTTAAAAAATATAAAATTATAAAATTAGTAAGAGGAAGAGGTATTCAAAATTTCGGTTAAACGATTCGATCGAATCAAAAAATTTCCGGTTAATTGTTTGGTTAATTTTAGGTTCCATCGATTAACTAATATGATTTTTGTAAAGTTCGGTTATCGGTTAATTCAGTCTGAAATCGGTTAATTAACTGAACTAATAGAAACTTTTAAATATTTAATATATTATTTATATATTAAGAGTTTTAGGGGTGTTTAAATTTCGGTTCTAATCGAACTAATCGACGGAATTAACCAAATTAACCAATTGAATTAATCGAATTAGTCAAAAATATAAAATATTTAATATATAATATAAATTTCAGTTAATTCAGTTAACTGACCGATTAACCGAACTTTGTTCGGTTTGATTAATTATTTTTGAAAAAAAAATCGATTCGATTAACGGTTAAACCAAAAAAAAATCGATTAATACAAATTTTAAAAGTTTGGTTCGATCGGTTAACCAGATCAACTGATTGAACAGCTCTAGTAAGAAGCTTAAAAGGGAATTATAACTTAAATTTCCTATTCAAATCTGTTCTTTCAAAGGTTTAGGGAATTAAATTACAAGGTTTCGTTATAAGATATAAAATCATTAATCCTAATAAAATAAATTATAGGACTATTTAGGCCAAAGATATTTTGGTCCATTGTTTTTCATCTTCTCGATTAAATTTTTTTAAATTGCACAAATAGGTACTTCTTCTATCTCATTAAATTTGTTTGCAGACATTATATTTTGGTCCAACTTTTAGTTTAATAATATTAGTAATTATAAGGACCTAGAATGATTAGATTGCTTATAATTTTTAATTTTAATAGTTTGTATAAGTTCGTCAGCTATTGTTATTATAGACATGTGTATCCTATAGTTATTAACTAATTATTTTTTTATTTTATTTATTATTATTATAAGCTTAGTATTATTCTTACTTGTTTTTATTATGTCGTTAGTACATATTACAATAATGTTATTATGGTATTATGGCGATGCTAATATTACTAAAAATTTATATGTAGGCTTTGGTTGTTATATAAATTTTATTTTAATACTAAATTTTTAACATTTATATTTATTATTTCAATTTCAAGAGCTGTTACGAATCACAAAACAAACCCAAGTCTGTTCAAATCAACTTTTAATTACAAACCATTTCATCAGGGTCACGTACAACCCAATTGGCCCATAATTTAAATTTAAGGTTTCTGAACCTTAAAGTTTTCATGCGCCGCCAATGAGCATTCCAGGTTGCCGTCGTCGCCCGTTCAAGTTCTGGCACCGTGTTGGTCACTGTTAAAGGGCTAATCCTGCCACTGTTTTGTAACAGTAAAGAGGAGCAAGTTAAATACAACCAAAATCAAAGAAAATCAAGCACGAACCAAATGACTTCCGTGATAAAGAAATTATTGTTATTCTTTGAAGACCTGAGTTCGAGTACCATGAATACTAAGGATGTAAGACTTTAATGTCAAAAATAAATGTTATCTTATGACACAATCAAAACTTCACTTACCCCAAGAAGGACATCCCTTCATGTCATTATATTATTAGAAAGTAAGAAGAACTTCTTTTTCGACGACGCAAAGGAATCAAGAAAACCTTCAAACTACCTAAGGTAGTTGATACCTTAATTTTGTGCGAAAATTAAAGAGAGAACAAAATGTAAGGACCAAACCTACAATTGTACCTATTACAATTAAGAATAAAATTTGATGGAATAAAAATATAATTTATACATAATAAAATTGAAAGTTTATAATTAATAGTTGACGACTTTTTATTTTTTATGTATGTAGTTGAAGCTAAGTTAATTAATGAAAACATTAGTACATAACTATATATTAGTTATATACCAAAGACGTGCCGCCCTATTTAACTATCAATTAAAGGTCTCTAAATGCTTAGTCATCCAAATTCATAACACCCACACGCGCATAATCAAAGCTACTAAGGCATTAATGTTATTATAGGTTCATATCACCTACTCTTATTTTTACCAAAAATTGCCTTTGGGTTTTAATAGTTAAATTTCAAATAGAAAATGGGAAAAGCAAATAACTAATCACTAAACTATGTTGAAATGAATTTGTGTCACTAAATTTTCAGAAGTTATAAAACAATCATTAAACTTCTCAAACGATTACATAAACTTTATCAAATTATTAAAAAATAATTTTCGAACTTATCGAATTGTTCTAAAGTGATTCTTAAACTTACAGAAAATGTTCACTATTTTTTGTAATAGTTTGATCAATTTAATGACTATTTTACAATATTTGAAACTTCAATGACCAAAAATACCATTTCATCAATATTTAATGACCATTTGTGTATCTTTTCAATTTATAATAATAGGAAATAAAAAGGCGTCCAAGTTGGGCAAATATATAGTTGCATGCAAAGCAAAGCGAGTTTGTTTGGAGTTAAATTCTCATGCCATGGAAATCGTGCCTGCACGAGACCTACGCGCAAGGGGCACCTCACCTTATGAAAAACCAAAAACCCGAATCTCCTAATCATATCTTATTATTGTTTAACCTAAATTCCCAAAATCAAAAAATAGGCTTAGAGAGGCTTTGAGCCTCTGTCATTCCAGGGCTCTCATTCCGTCCATCTTTTATGTGCTGGTTTTGGAGCCTTGGGGAGCTAGGGTTTCGTTTCATTTCTCCCATGCAGAAACGATGATAAGGAAGATGTGCCCTAACCTCGATAAACAAGACGCCCTGGAGACCGTCCTGGAAGTGCCTATCCCCGAAGAAATGTACATCCAAATGGGCACCAGCGCCGCTTTACGGTGGCGGAATCTCCGAGCTTCCATGAAGGCACACTCGGCTACTTTCGGTAATATACCCACCGCCCATCTCCAAGCTAAATCCGATAATGAGTTCTTGGCTTTGCTTAAGATTGTTGGCGCTCCTCTCATCCCTTTCCAAGTCCATTTGCTCGGCTGCTCACTTTCGTCTCCCCTCAAAAATTTCCCCATTGTAAGTACAAAAACACTCCCATTTTTCTCCCTCAAATTCTAAATATCATTCTTGAGCAGGGATCGCCATTTTCAATGAGAAATAGAATTTTTTTTGTTGGATTAACTTATAAAATTTTAATGAAATATTATCAATAGAAAATATAAATTAAATATATGAGAATTCACGATCTTATTTTATTTTGAAAATTTAGATTTTGGTCAATTTTTTTATGGTGGGATCGAGTATAGATCTAGATGAAAAATTTGATCGGCATAATATTATAATTATCTTTTATATATTTAATAATAAGTACAGTAATACTCTTTTTTATTTTAATTTTTAATTAGTCTTTTTTATAAAAAGTAGTTATATATTTATATTTAGATCGAATGACGTCGAGTAATTTAAAAAATATTAAGTTAGGTGAGATTCTCTTAAACCTAGGTTGGGTGTGGATATCTCCAATTTTTAGGATGTATTAAGGTGGATTAAAAATCCAATTCGACTCGACTCTATTTCGTTTTCCAAACCCTAAACACAAACATGAATGATGAGGCAGTTAAAATTTTTGTAGGAATCATCGACAGCAAAATATATAGTGCACCAGTACGTGGCGGCGTGTGGGGGGCATTTGACGTTGAGTTCGACGACTAGCATGTCGGCTGTGGGGCACGTGAAGATGAGGGGGTCGGAGATGCAGGCGGGCGATGATAGCGTGCAGATAAAGAAGGGTTATGAGGTAGGGGGGTTCGCATTGTGGCAGAAGAACCCTGATCTCTGGTATTTTGAACTTGTGGTGTCTGGTTACAAGGTTTGTGCTGGCAGTGATGGTAAGGTGGCTTGGAATCAGTCTTCTTCTCAACCTGGTCATGCTAATCGAGGCCCTCCTAGACCCTTACGTCGATTTTTCCAGGTATATATTTTCATTACATTTACTTCTTTTCTTGTATTTGATCATGAAATCAACACATAACTAAAGCATCTCTTAATTGAAGTCACGATTAATTTATTCAATCATTTATAACCTGAATTAAATAATACTAATATGTATCGACCTGTTTTCTAAGTCTATAACAACATGATGTTGTTTTATATATTATATAACCTGAAATTAATTAAGACTAAGATAATTGGTATTTAAAGAAACATAAAATATATTATTGGGATACGAAAACTAACTGGTTGTGTGAAATCCTCAGGGATTGGACCCGAGGTGTACGGCTAGCTTATTCGAAGAAGCGGTTTGCATCGGGGAGCGGAGAGTGGACGACGAAGATTGTTTCGTCCTCAAGCTTGAAATGGCCTCGAGTGTTCTCAAAGCTCAGAGTTCAGATCAGACGGAGATCATCCATCACACCATCCGGGGATATTTCAGTCAAAGAACAGCGCTTCTCGTGAAATTCGAGGACGAGAAGCTGGTGATGATGAAGCCATCGAAAGGGATCGACTGTGTCTTCTGGGAGACCAGCGCGGAATCGATGATTAAAGATTACAGACATGTCGATGGCATAAAAGTAGCCCATAGTGGGAAGACGATGACAACGCTTTACAGATACGGCAAGTCCGTTAATCACAAGAGGAAGATTGAAGAAACATGGAGGATTGATGAGGTTGATTTCAACATTAGTGGATTGCCTAATGAGACTTTCCTGCCCCCTGCCGATCTTAAGAGAGAGCATGAACAACAATGATTCATAGATTTTTCTTCTTTGTACATATAGGACATAAACCATGAATTATTTTACCTTTCGAGGTTAACTAGTTATTTCAACAGTTGTTCGTTTCAAGTTATAATTATAGTTATAACTGTACATATAAATAATATATGAATAATTAATAATTGGGATTTGTTCAGACAAACACATCAAGTAAAATACACAAATTATTAAATCTATCCAACTAATATAAAATAATCACTGTATAAAGTTTATTGATCGGAATTACTACAAAATGATCATTAAAAGTAAGAGGTAAATATCGGAGACTTCAGCTGGTATCAAAGATTAATTGATGAAACAATAACCCTATTTAGTGATCAATAAATAAACCTCTGATTTAAAAAAATGACTGATCGCAATTGACATTACTCCAAAAAAAAAAAAAAGGCTTGAGCCAATTCAAGTGCCCCTTATCTATAAGGTTAATTAAAAAAGAAACCCTAGCTGTGCACATTTACAAACAGTAAAACCAAATGTATCTACAACCAACCCCAACAATCTCAAAAACACTCTAGATTTATCAATCTTCTACTGTCTGAATCTCACCCATCATAATCCGGTTGCTGACCACATTGAATCCCAGAACAGCCGGACTCACCTTCTTTCCTTTCTTCCCTTTCTTCTTCCCTCCCCACTTCAAAGACCCATCTGGGCTGATTCCGACATCTTGGTCAATACCCGCAATGCTTGTATTGCCGTAATTCACATTTCTGGTTCCCAAATCTGTTAACTTTCCGTCATGTCGCCTTTGAAAAGCAATCTCAAGCACATCAGCAGGTAGCAATTCCTTATAGTTGAGGAATTTTTCAATGAACTCGTGATTCGGATCAAATGATCCAAGGTTCTCTACAAGAAGTATCTCAGCCTCGGATCTAGATTGCTTCAAACAAAATTCCAAGAAACTTGTATCTGGCAAAAGAATAAGAGTGAGATACAAGATTTAAAATCAACCGAGTATTAACCAGCTTCATATCTAGCAGAACTACAATTATAGTTTCAGAGAGCTTGTACAAGCAATGATCAAATGGAAATCATCTTAGGCTTGATAAGAGAAGCTCAAATCAAAATTTATATGATCGGTACTTTACCAATAGAATACATTACCAACATCGTTTCCTAAGCATTGGCATACCTTTTGTTCCAATAAGCCTAGCACATTCGCTCTCACACCAATCTCTGAAATCCATCGCCTCTGCATGATAGTTGAATGCATTGTAATGTTAAGTCTTACTAGGTAGTAAACAAATCATATTGAGACATTCATCTTTCTAGAATGACTTACCAGAATGCTTGGTCAACATATCTCTTTTCCCCTTAAGGGAGGACTGAGCAGAGGCAGGAGAGGATGACAGAGTGCGCTCAATAGGCCTGCCACCTACTGACTTTTGCCGACTTAATGAGCCACTTGCATTTCCTTTAGTAGGTATGCTTTTTGTTCCCCAGCTTCCCACATTTGCTAGAACTGGGAAATCACCTCTGTTTACAAAAAAAATCATATATCCAATTAGTGATTAACCTTTTTGCTTCCTTCCGTTTGCATGTTAAGTCAGCGACTCAGCAATGATAAACTTTTTTGCTTCATCTGTTTGCTTGGAGGCAAGAACAAATATAAGTCCATAAATCTGCATCTCTTTGACTGTCACTAGAAACTTTGGGTTCTAAACTAGACACAACCCCAGCCCACGGAGTTGACACATTGATAGAGCTCACAGAAGTAACCTCTAATACTGCCATCACTGTTTGAGCCTTCCTCTGTTCTTCCTGTTGGATTTCCAATAATGACTTTGGCTTGAAACCAGGAGCAGGTTTCCAAGCATGTACAGACGGCTGTACAATTGGGTTCCGCACAGGGAAAGAGCCAGAAAGTCGGGACTCATCCTTTAGTTCTTTGGTTTCATCATCAACCACGACAATGTTAGCACCTGGAGAGCTTTTAGCATAGTGAGAATCCATTGGGGAAATACCTGAGTTGTTCTCTTCTGTCATTCCAGGAGACATCACATCAATGTTATGTCCAGCACTGTTAGTGTCACCAACTGGCGCTTCAGTTTCAGATGGTTTCATTTGCTTCGAAGTGGAAGCCTTGGAAAGTCCCTTTGCAAGATCAGACTGTGATTTACCAGCTTTTTGCTTTCTAGACTTCTTTCCAGAAGTTTTTCTTACTTCATCAGCTTCAGCGTTCTTAGATTCTCTCACTACAGAAGGCTGCTCGTTGCTTTTCTCTCTTTGAACTTGCATTTCATTGATAGCAGCAGTAGGTTCAACATCCTCATTAGGTGTGTCAGTTTTACATGTTCTAGCAGTAGCAGTTTCATCATGTTCCAAGGTTCCACAACTTGCATCATTCGCAAGGGGTACAGCTGGTACAGTTTCATCTATCTTCTGAGCAAAGTCCCATGGTTGCTCCACGGTAAGAGCATGGCAGTTTGAAGCAACACGTGGCTCTTGCACAAGGGAAGTCTCCTGAGAGGATAAGTTAACTTCCAATGAGGGTGAGCTTTCAATGATTGTTGTCACAGGTAAAGACTGCAGGATGCTATTAACCAGTTCTGGTGCATTAGTCCCCAAACTGTTCTCACAATGGGTACTACTGAGCATCTCATGAGATAGAAGAACAGGCCGAGATCCAGAACTAACAGCATAAGTCATATCTCTGGAGACTTGTGGAGGCAGATTCATTAAGTTAGAGGCATGTTCATCTAGGGTGCCTGGGATCTGCGAGCCAGTCTGAAGAATATCTAGTGACATTGGCTGATGTCGAATGGGATCCATGGATGAATTCCCTGTTGGTATTGTAGTCTGTAGGTGTCCATAAGAGGGTTCACCAAAAAACTCCTGGGATTGATGTCCTTGCAAAACCAGTGAGAGCAATTGTTGTTGCCGTAGCAACTTTTGCTGTTCCTCCTGTCTCTGTTGCTGCTTAAGCAACATGATCTTTTCAAGCAGTAACATCTGTTGTGTTTGTTGTACTGGCGTCTGGGGTTGTAGCTGCAGCAATAAATACTGCTGCTGCAACATATTTAACAGTTGGGAGTCTTGAGGAAATGTTGACAAGATAAAATTTTCTGGTTTTAAGATGCCAGACGGATTATCCGTAGGTTGAAGTAAATTATTCAAGGAAGGTTGGGTTGGTGTTTGCAGCCTCTGTTGCTGGATCCCAAAGGGCGCTTGGGTAGGAAAATTTTGAGCATGATGCAACTCAATCTTTTCTTGAAGAGGATCCAATGCACCCTGTGCAGGGAAATTTAACCAACCACCTACACTGTTATTTACCCCAGGAGCAGACCTGTCTGGTAATCCTTGGAGGATGGACATCAAATCAGCAGCTTGAGAATGAGGTGGCTGAAGAGTGCTATCAGTCAATGATGCGAGGAGTTTTGCATGTGCTGCAGGTGATTCAGAGATGATGTCTGGTTTTGAAACCAAAGATGCAGCATCTCTCCCAGGCCAATGAGGGTAGGGTTTTGGCATCGAACTCTGCCGTTCCAGAGTCATTTTCTTGCCCAAGAGATATAGATCACTCCCATTTTCTGTTACAGATACCAGAATGCTACTAGGATTATTTGGAAGATATCCTTGCAGACCCAAAGTAAAGCCATACAAGACATTAGGCAGGCAGTTTGAAATTTATGAATTAGAACCCTAGATTTACTGTCAGAATTCAGCAAGTAAATATTGCGTGCTATAAATAAATAAACTTATGTATCTGTGTGTAAAAACTAACCTTGGGATGGATTGTTCATGCTACCGGACATGAGTGACTCCAAAAACCTATTTTCAGCTTCTGTTGAAGTCCTGGGCTCATTTCTGATCATATCAATATCGCTTGCACCAGCATGAACTTTCCCGAGACTACTAGAATTTTGCCTGCTTGACAAATCTGAGAATTCACCCTGCTTTGGCACACCAAATCCAGGTGGCGGCCGTGCTTTAGCTCGTAAGTGGGGCATTACATCACCAAGTAAGGAAAATGGTGAGTCCTTCGGTGCACCTGCGAGCCGAACTTCCAAATCTATCCCAAAATATCCTGCCTCAAACCAGCCTATGACATCAATCCCGGAAAAAGGGCCTTGAATTTCACCTTGAGGATCTTTGTAGTGAAGGATGAGGTCCTCCGGGGCAGGCAGCTTCCTAGGTCCAGGTTCCCCCTCCAAAACACCGGATGGTTGGCTCTTAAGGATAGGATCCACACTAGATTGCCGATTTGCGTCATCTCTAGAAAAGGATGAATTCATCACATTACTTTCTCTCTGGTTAATCGTATCTTTCCGTTGTTGTGACCAGCTTATGTCAGGGATTCTTGACCTTACATCATTTGGAATATCCTTCCAGTCCTGTTTGACTATAGGTGATTGTTCTCCCAATGAAAAGGCACGCCACACAGTGCCAGGATTAACAGAGTTAGTGACTAGTATACTTGATTCCCTACTTAAGGGCACCTCTTCATCCCTTCTGTATGGACCCCTATTCTCCACAGCTGCAATAATATAAATGAATAGAGATCACTTCTCATAGTAAAAAAACTAAAAGACAAGAAAGGAAAGCAATGAGACAAATCTACGGAATACAATGCAGTGCAGTGAATCTAAAACAACAGAAAAGTTGGAATTCAAAGAGAGCAAACTCCAGATCATGAAAACTAGACAACCAATCCAATGGACACACAAATGTAATCCACAGTTATTAATTATATCCTTCCACATAAAAACTCAACTAGTCCTTAACACCAAGACAAACAGATTCAAGTTGGTTATCTGAGTCCTCTTTTTGTTCCAACCCATGTAGTAGGGATTCTTTTGTTTCTTATTCTTAAAAAGTAGCAGTAATTGTTTAAAACAAGTATCCATGAAACAATTTCTCATATGGTTCAAAATTTTCAATTGAGAATACCTAAGATCCAAAGAAATAATTGCAAGATGGTTTCCAGAGTTGTTACCAAATACAAGCTAAATGGTTTATGTAATTATACCTTCTGATTTGAATTTAGTATCTGGGTTTCCCTTCAGCTTTTCAAGATGTGAATAACTGATGTTTGGAATGTCAGAACTTTCCTCTTTAGAATCATCAACAGCAGGTGGTAAATCTTCTCTACTTCCTGCATAAATATGTTTCAGCAAAAGTTAGACACTTCTTCGAAATATAAACAAACTTACTATAGAATACATATTGAATTTTTTGAATACCAATATTGTTTCGTCTTGAATGAGTAAACTCGGTAGAGTTTCGGACAACAGGCCCATCTTTAGGCATCAATGGAGCACCACTACTTGTTATGTCTCCTTTGTCAATTCCATTTAGAACAAGCTATCAAATAAGCAATAAAATCAACAGTGGAGTCTAAATCAAGGTTTACCATCATATACAAAAAAATTAAATAATAAAAATAACATAATACCATTTCATCAGGATTAGGAGCACAAAGAGCTAGAGGATCCAATGGTTCATTCTGTGTAAGTGAAGGCACCGATACAAGCTCTTCAACGAGTTTTTGGTAAACTCTCATGTCAGTCCTCATATATAAGTCTAGCAATTTTTTCCTACTATATCTAAAAGGGGATGGCTCCACACAGTCAATATCACCCTTTTCAGATACAATTCCCATATTTTGATGATAAGAAGGTATACTAGCCCCTTGGTTTCCACCAGAACTTCCCCTTGCATGGCCAGCAGAAAATGTTGAAGGGTGACTTTCACCACGTCCCCGGCCGTAAGAAAACATGGTAGCCTGTTTGCTTGGAGTTAGTGTGGGGTGTTGAGGAGGCTCTCCCCTTCCTCGACTTTGAAAAGAGGTGGATCTCCATGGCCGAAAGTGGTCACCCTCCCTCACATCCTTTCCATGACTGGAAAGATGAGACAACCCTTTGTCAAGAGACATATCACCATCTCTTCCAGAGTCAGCCCACTTCTCTCGTGACCTTTCATTGTTTTTAACATCAGGCCCCCAGCGTGTGTTCCATTTGCTCTCACGCTTTTGCTCATAGTTCGAATCCCTGTTACCTGATTCGGTCCACCGCTTGGTGGGTGCACGGCGTGCTTCTCCAAATTGTTTCGAAGGTAAGTCTGCCCATTGATCCATCCTGCGAGTGTCACCAAGCTCTTTATCACCATCCCTCCAGTGATCTTTGCGCACAGATGAATGGGTGTCTCGTTCTTCATCACGCCAGCATTCTCGCAGACCGGTTTCCATATCAAGTAAGGATGGCCTAAAACCATCCTTCTTTGGGGTATCAAGCATCCCCTCATCATTTCCCAATGGCTTCACGACTTCGGAGTGATCTCCGTTAGCTGTATACGGAGCAGGATGATTTTCCTGTATGGATGATTGAAAATTAAGGAGGAAAAAAATCTAAGACAGTAAGAATGTCAAACAGAATATTTAACTAATTCTTTAGATGAGAACAGTATGTAAATAGAACACTGGAGAACACACAACATGAGACCCATCTATTAATGAATAATAACACCATGGGTCAAATAACAGATAGCTTACACAACAACAATAATAACATACCATAGTTCCTATTCCAGGCTTACTCTCCCCTGGCTTTGAAAGAAGCCATTGTGGTGAAAGTGGTATCGTATTGTCAGATCCTTGAACATCTACATTAAACAAACAGAAACATCTATTAGAGACGGGCATATATTCAAGCAAGTATTTAAAATCAAAATGCTTAGTCCGATACAATGATGGTGAAAACTAGGCACACTAGAAACTATTCAAGCCTTGATTTTGTTGGGAGAAAAGAAAAACCTTTTTCTGAGAAATGATCAAATTTGCCTCTTGAAACTGTTACATTGATTTATCAGTGAATAAAGAAAACCAAACAGTCAAACACAACAGAAAAACACATGCATTAAACTAGAAAGACATCATTTAGGAAGCTTGTTTGACTTTCAAACGAGGTATTTCAAACTAATAATAAAGCAAAAAAAATTCTCAGTAAAACCTGTTCATGAAGCAGCTAAAAATGAAAAAATTTACACAATCAATTGTCAATACAATGCGAATGTGTCATTTATAAATGGAATAACAACTATGCAATTTTATATATAATTAATCCCATAAGTTGATTAAACTCTAGCATTTGAATAGAATGAAATTGAAGAAATATGGCCAATACTAGTTTTGAGTTGAATTTATTAGAAAAACTGAACGACTTCAGTACATCCCTATCACATCGTACTTTTCCAATTGAAAAAAATATATAACTATATATATCAAGTACAGTAAGTCGGAAAGTTAATTGCGCTGAGCTAGAAGCTCATAGAAAAAGAAACCTGAAGGGAGGAAAGGTTCCTTTTCTAGATGATAAACCAAAAACCCTAATTTCGAAGCAGACAAACAAAAAAACAGCAATCTCGTAAAAACACTGAATCCATAATAATGTCATCAGATATTAAAACGAAATGAGAAAAGTTGGAAAAGACAAGATTTAGGGTTTTACAAAAAAGACGAATGAGAGAAGCCGTTAATTCTTAATGCTATGAGGAGAGACGAGATCGGAGAGGTAAACTACCTTTGGGGATTGGAAAGGGAGGGTCGACAGTGAGGTGGCGGCGGGAATCAGAGGCAGATGAGTGAGCCATGGACGATCGTGAAAGAGAGGCAGAGAACCAAATGGTGCTGTTTTTGTGTCGCTCGTTTTGTTTACCCTTTTGCTTTGCGTTGGTTGCGTTTTGAGAGCTGAAATATAAGTTAGGTGTATGATATATATATATATAATATATAATATATATATATATATATATATATATATATAATATATATAGCAAAAATGGTAAAAAGGTTATAAAATAAAGGATTAATTATAAAATAAAGGTCCAAACTATAGTATTTTTTACGAATAGGTACCTAAACTATTTTTTGAATGATTATGGTACTTAATTTTACTATTTTAGATTTTTAGACCGCTAAAGTCATTAATTGACATGTGTCACATTCTAGTAATTTTTAAATTTTTATTTAATATTAAAAAAATTAAAATTATATTTTAAAAGCACATACAAAATTTTTAAAATAGCCCCAAAGCTTTGAAAACCTTCATTTCAACTCCTAAACTCATACCAACTACAGTACTTTGTCGTCGACGAAGCTCCACCCGATATCACCTCCCTCGGTGATTAATACTCCTATGAAATCTCGGTCGATCGATGTTTTATACTGCAAGAATCCTTGGATGAAAATTGTGTTCCTATGTGATTCCGATGGCCAACAGTGGTAACTACGATGACGAATGACTACGATAATAACAAAAAGTATGTCAGCGATGGTGGTTGTGCCCAGAAAAAGCAGCGATGGTGGTTGTGCCCAGAAAAAGCAGCGATGGTGGGTTAGGGTTAGAGCTTTGTGATTTTAGAGATTTGAAATTTTTGTTATTTAAGAGAAATTAAAGTTTTTTATAAATATAATAATATTTTTATTTTTTCAAAATAATAAATTTCAAAATTCATAATGTGATACGTATCACTTAACGGATGAAATTAACGGTGCTTATGCACCTAAAGTGATAACGTTGGTGACTTTAGACACCAATATCATTCAAAAAGTAGTTTAGATATCTATTCGTTAAAAATAATATAATTTAGACACTTATTTTATAATTAAACCAGAAAATAAATAATTTGTGAAAATATGAAAGATATGTTTCGACTTACCTACGTTTAGTGAATAGTGAGTAGAAGAAGATGTCCGACTATAGTTACTTCCTTAAGATTATTACTAGTTTGGATGCACGGCATATTGATAAGTCTTGCAGTGGCTTGCACGCGCATTGTTAAGAGATGAGATATGAACTTCTATATGTGTTTTGATACGGTGGCTGCGTAATACGCCACGACTGGTGATATTGAGGTCAAAAATTGATACGACCAAAACGATTGTCGTTTTCAAGGTAGCTCTCATAAGTTTCAATATTATGATTTTTAATTTAAAAAAAATGTAATAAATTTTATATTTTATAATATTAAAAAATAATGAAAATAATTTTAAAATACCATATAAAAAGTATATATAGTTTTAATACTAGATATTATACTCCTTAAGCTGGTAAAACATATTTTATAATAAATATATTTAGAAAATTGTACTCAGCTAATGATTATAGGTGGATAACAATTTCTTTATGAATTACATACTTGATTATAGTATATTCAAACGCCATGATTTAAACAATTTAAATGTGTTTAGACAAAGAACTTTTTAAAGGAATTTTGTTTTTATTAATTCGAAAATAAATAAGGTTAAAAGTAGAAAATTCTAAAGTTAGTAAGAAGCTTAAAAGGGAATTATAACTTAAATTTCTCATTCAAATTAAATTTAAAGGTTTTTTCAAAAATTATTATTATTTTATTTTAATTTATATACCTGGTTTCATCCTAAAATATAAAATCATTAATCTTGATAAAAGAGATTATAAGAATATTTGGGCCAAAGATATTTTGATCCAATATTTTTCATCTTCTAGATTAAAACTTTTGAGTGAACAAAAATATATTTTCTTGGTCCTATTAAATTTGTTTACGGTTGATATTTTTTGAAATTTGGTTCATTATTATTTAAAATCTGATAAAATATTAAAAAATATATTTCAAAAAACTTAAATTAAATAATTTTTTAATAAATATTTTATAAAATTTAATTGTTTAAGATATTTGAAATAATTATAGTCAAAGTTTATTTTAACTTTTACAAAGTCAACAATGGACGGACAGAAATACATAATTTAATAGACTTTTGATCTTAGAAAATCCATACTCGGGTCATCCAAAAATCACATTTAAATTTATGATACAGATAATTTTTCATTTAGAAAACAAAAGTTATTACAAGAAAAATATGAAAATAAGAATGTTTCCTAAAATGAAAAAAATCAAAGCGGAATAAAAATAAAATTTCTTAATTCGATAGATTTCATGAATTTCATCTTAATAATCTTAGTAAGTTTTTAGATGTTTTAAACAAATTATTTTATCGACGTGTCAAATGATTATTCTATGCTCTTAGACTCGTATCACACGTACATAAATCCAAACGTCCTAAAGTATATTATGTATAAAAAAAAGTGTCATATTTTATCTTATATTATCGATATGTAAATGTGTCCTGCATAATAATATTGAGATTCTTATATGATGATATCGATTATTGTGTAAGTGGATTATAATTGAGGTCTCCTAATTTAATTATTTTTATATGATTTATTAATATACTATTAAATTAATTATTTAAAATAGAAAAATATATTTTCGGGTTTATTTTTATTTTTTTCTCAGAGTTTATAACTAAGGGCTCCTAAATTTTTTAAAATTTATAAAATAGTATGTACTTTCTACTTTGTAACTAAGGGCCCGTAATTTAATCATTTTTCTATAGCTTACTTAATGTAATATTAATTGTTTAAAATAATAGAATATATTCTATTTTTGAGTTTTTGTTCAGGGTTTATAACTAAGGGCCCTTAATTTCTCTAATTTTATAAAATAGTCCTTAATTTCTACCTCTATAACTGAGGGTGCAACACGAACAAAGCGACGTCGGTGGTAAGTAAAGGAATTGTTGTTATTCCTTGAGGTCCTAGGTTCGAGCACCAGGAATACTAGACGTGTGAGTGTTCATTGTCAAATGATTGAGAATTATCTTTGAACATATATTGTCTTATACTTACCCTAGATTATTCAAAAAATAATTGAGAGTACATAATTTAATCATTTTCTATGGTATATTAATGTAATATTAAATTAATTATTTTAAATAATAAAATATATGTTTGTTCTATAGGACCTATTTGAATGGTAATGAATGGTAATTTAGACCTTTAGACTCATTTGAAACTTGTTCAACGTGATAAGGAAGCATTTTGGATAAATTATTTTAAAATTTTAGCTTAAAACGGGCTAGAAATCTATTCACGTGTCCAAATTCAAGAATAGTTCTGGAAAGCATTTTCTGATGTTTGTATGATGTTGTGTAATTCATTTTTCGCTGTTTAGTAAATTTTCTAAAGATATTTTTAAAATATATCCTTTTTTAAATATAGTTTTGGAAAAAAAACACAATGAATATTTTATTGATTTTATCTTTTATTTTCTTATAAAGTTAATTTTATTATTATTAAAAATATCACTCATGATATTTTATAATTGTAGATAATATGAATAATTTTATGTCAATTGTGTTATAAATATATTTTTTTAAATATATTTTTATTGAAATAATCAAGAAATTCCCTAGGTGAATGAATCTATTTCTTTCTATTAACGCATCATTGTCATAAACATGGCTCGAAAGATTGAAACAACACCAAAGACCATGAACATATCTCACTATTCAACGTTTTAAACCTATAAGAGAATTACTTATACAGATAAATATTTTGAGGATACACAATGAATAAAAAGGATTCAGACCCTTTCTAATACATTATAATAGATGTTTGGAAATCATTTAGCCACAACTAAAAGTATCTAGTAAGTACTAATCATAAAAGAATTTTAATAAAGCAAAAAATCACTCAAACAGCAAAATTAGTAGAGTTTTAAAGAAGCCTTCCACACAAACAATGATAATATTTTTTTCGTACGTTTGACTGTACTTGTCTCCAAACACTTCAAAGGCTGCTTTGGCTAATGGTTTGGTCAACCCATCAGCAAGCTTATATTTAGCAGCCACGTATCTGACCTGAAGTTGGTTCGACGCAACTTTCTCCCAAACGAAATGAACGTCCAAATAGACATGCTTAGTTTGAATATGATAAACGAGATTTACACTAAGAGCAACGACACTAGTATTTTCGCACCAGACAACCGGAACTTCTTATTGTAGCACTCTCAAGTCTGTGAGTAAATGCATTCACTCAAGTCACTTTAGCTAAAGCTTCTGCAACACTCCGATACTCAGCTTTCATGGTCAATCGTGAAATATATTTTTGTTTCTTAGAATTCCAATATGACGATATTATTTCCCGCAAACACTCCATAACCTGAAATTGACCATCGGTCATCAGCACAACTACCCAATCGACATTAGTGAAGGTTACGATGTTCATGCCAGAGTTGGAAGGAAAAAATCGAAGCCCATTACTTACAGTACCAACTAAATACGTTAAGATGCTTCTAACTGCTGTGAAGTGCACATCCCGGGGAGAATGCATAAAGTGTGCTACCTTATTTACACTATACGTAATATCGGGTTGTGTATGACAAAAATAGAGAAGACTTCCAACTATGCTTCGATACTCGTGAGCATCATGCATGTGCTCTCTAGCATGACAGTGTAATTTTTCTGCAGCTATTATCGGGGTGGCAACAGGTGAAGCATTTAACATGCCTATTTTTTCCAAAAGTTCAAGCACAATTTTCCTTTGACTAAGAACAAGAGAGTCACCACACCATTTAGCCTCAATACCCATAAAATAATTCAAAGAACCTAAGTCTTTGAGTGAAAACTTGTTATTGAACAAGTTCACTACTCGCTCCACCTCTACACGACTGCGTGGTTAATATGATGTTGTTAGGATTTTTTAAGCTCAATTGATCAACCGAAATTGTTGCCAAGAGAGAGTGAATTGGACTTTTTAAAATTTTGGGAATTTAGGAGAAAGGATAGGAAAATTTGTTCAAAGATTTATAGTGATTCAACTTCTTCAATGAAGTCTACATCCACTACCTTAGCTC